GATATTTGTATTCGTAGGATCTTTGTTAAGTTTTTATTTTTATTATTATTATTTTTATTATTAGAAAGAATAATAGTATTATTTGTCTTGTTTACCATATAGAAATTTTAATCCACTTAACTTAACGTAATTTAACCTTATCTAATCTAATTTAGGCCCAACATTTAACCTAATCTAACGTAAGCTAGATTTGCCCGACCTAGATATTGATTCTAGATTAAAATTGTTTTACGTTTATATCAATCACAATTTTGATTGTATTTTTTTTTAATGAAATATACTATATATCTCGATACGATTCTTTCCTTGGATTGAATCGTGTTGAATAAAATAGATTATTATATTTAATTAGTAAATATTGGAACATATAATATAAAATCTTTTTCAACAATTAATAGTAATTAATAATCACTGAATTAAAAAAAGAATACAATACAATACGTTCGTATTTAATTTTGCTTTAATCTGTCATAATAACTCGATTAACGTTAACATTGTTTAAACTTAAAAAAAAAAAAGAAAAATTTGTTTAATCTAAGAAAATTAAATCGATTCGATTTTTCATCGTCGAAGAAGTTTCTGAAGTGAGTGAAAATAAATTAAAACTGATTGCTCAGCATTTATAAAATAATACCAGAAAACAAAGATTTCTTACTTTTCTATTCAATACAAAATTCGCTTTCGTTTATTTTCATCCGGTGAAATTTTATTTTTTTCAAAGTTTTATTCGAAAATTTGGAAGTTTAGAGAAGCTTTAGAATTTCAACCGTTTGTTTATCGATAAATATGTTAATCGGACGTGAACCATTTTATCGATGGTGAAATATGCATCGTTGAATAAATATTTCCTCTCGATTAAACGAAATTTTGAACAAATAAAAAATATGAAAGAATTTATCTATTTTTTTTATTTTTTTTTTTTTTTTGGAAACATTCCAAAATTAATAATATCTCTGGAATTTCGATGTTTCCACGTTATCTCTCAAATTATCGTATTAAATTCCATTGCGTTTTATATCATTTTAAAAATTTAAAATACATTATTTTAAATTAAAAAAATGGAATAAAAAAAAATTATATTAACTTAAAACACATTTATCTATAAAAGTGCACGTTGTACAAATAATACATATAAATATTTCATTTTTCTAAATTCAACGACGATTTAATCGACAAGTCACGTCCATTAGAACTTTAAAAAAGCTTGCAAGGAGAGTGGAATACGCTATAAAAAAGGAAGAGGGAGAGCAATATATATACACATACACACAATAGACTTCTGTATCCCCCTGTATTATCCGAATACCTTAACGTTCGTTCTATTATTCGTATGCTCTGTTATTCTCACAATGTTTCGTAGCGATGTTTACATACAATATACTATAAGTTACAACGTAGATACAATGTATTCAGATGTGATAAATATTTTGTTCGGCCTGTGTTAAACGTAATCATATCGATTCAGTGCGAAGCGGAGAGGTATCGCGATGACACGTAAATGAAAAGGCGTAGTTTTAACTATTAAAAATCTTAAGAAAGTGGTGAAAGTGCGACGAAATTAACAAGAATATATCATGGCGGATGGTTCGACGGTTCGAGGCGCAACGGGGACGTAATTCTACGCAGCTGCTTGCGATAAAAAATTTACGCGACTTAACGGCCGAAAAGATACGGGACTCGTAGAAAGAAACCGTCAATATTTTTCATTTCTGCTTGAATAAACGAAGTTTAATGGAAAGGAAAGTAATTGTTCTATTATTCGAACATTTTGTTTTTCTTTATTAGTTCGGATACGGGAGTCTCTAGTGTATATACGTCTTTAGGAGAGCTGAAGGAAAGTGGAGGACATGGAAAGGATTGGTTGAACGTGGCAATGGACTAACTTCTCGGAATAAGCGACGATGAGAAAATATGCTATGTATCGCCGCGAGTAGTTCGCACACTTTGCTGAATTATCTTCGCCTCAAGACATTTCCCCCCCTCTCCCTCTCTCCTTGCGTGACGTTCGTTTCGTTTTAATTTCTGCCTCCTGGTATACGGTCCCGTCGTGTTGTTAACCCGAATTTTTGCAAACCTCTTCATCTTTCTCTTTCCCATCTCCAATGTATCGATCTTCAAGATAATCGGGAAATGTGATTTTTTTTATCTTAATAATCGATTTGAAAATTTCTTAGTTTGGAAGTGTTAAACGCGAATTTCGATGGGATGAATTTTCTATCGAAGAAAAATCGTATAACTTGTAAATATTTTAATTGATCACGTTTTTTTCGTTAAAAAGGGATACGCGTTGGATGCGTGAGAAGAAATTAATGGATGCTTTATCGATTATCGGTTTATTGGTTTCTTATTATACAAGATACGTTTCGAAGTCGTTCGAAATTACCTCTATGAAACATCCCCGACGTTTCTCGTCTGTTTCGAGTACAACCGTTGTCGTACAATTAGGTCATCCTTTAATACGTAACTGCGCGTAATTCTGAAAAAAAAAAAAAAAAAAAAGTGAATATTAAAGGAAAGCTTTGAAAAGTCTTGATTAAAAGTAGCTGCCTCGCTCGTCTGTTCCTTCATCTTTTTTTTTCGTGAAAAATATGGAAATTCGTTTTCGAATCGTAAAATTTTTTTAAAATTGTGTTCTATGATTTTTGAGAATTTTTGGCAAGTCGATGGATCGATCAATAATCGAGAGACAGTTCATCGGATAATATTGAATCAATGGTCTGTAATTGGGCAATTATTGGCCGATCAGTGGTCAATGATCGGTCAATGATCACTCGTTCACGTTGATATATATTAGACAGTGAAACGATAAATCGGACGATGTGAGTTTTAATATTCTTTTCTTTAAGATTCACTTTTAATTTCAATTTTACAATTTGAACGATGGATGGAAATTAATTGTACAAAGCGTGCGCTTATTATTATCATTAGTGAACACGAGCATGCACGAGAAATATGGGTCGTGTATAATATAATTTATGTTCTAGGTTGGGAGCATGAAAGTGTTCGACTTTTTTTTTTCTTTTTACAAGCGTTAAATTTCACTTATTTAGTAGAGTGTGCGCATTAACGAGGCAGATTCCGTGGAATAAACAGAGAAATTTGCATTACAACGGCGGAAAAAGGATAACACCTCGGTAGACAATAGCTGGATATGGGTGGATAATTTGAACAGTTACGCTCCAGATAATAAAAATTCGTAGCTTGCTTTCGAAATTTACAGCTTCTATATTTTGCTCATTTTTTTCCTTGACAGAAAAGGAGATTGTGATGTTTGGAATTTTAGAGAAATTTTTTCGAAAAATAAAATTAGGTATTATTTTTATTATTATATTTCAATTAAATTTCGATAATAAAAAATTATACAAATATAAATTTAAATTACATTAGCTGGTGTACCTGGTCTGGTGTAAATTTAATGGACTACGCAAGAAGTCTGTCTACGATTTACGTAACAATTTTAATTAACGATGTCTTCAAGCGACAACAAATTAATTCCTTTGAGTGCATTCCTTTGAAGCGTAGATGTTGTGATATAATCTACGTATATGTATATAGAATCTTTCCTCATGAATTAGGAAAATTTTGAAAATTTAATTCTATAAAATAATAATAATAATAATATCCTAGATATTCTATTTTTCGAATTCACGTTAAAATTTAACAAATGAATTATAAACAAAAAATTATTTTAGATTGTATCATAACATTTTCCCTATGAAATAGTGAGTGTACATCTAGTACTTCCAGATCGGTAAAATCTAAGGTTTTTTTATCGTAGTTCAGCTTTTCTTCGAAGATAGCGCTGTTTGTGCATCATCTTGTTTTAGTCGGTAAGTCAGTTTTGCTAACGATGAAAATAATTTTCTCGACTAGTCCAAGCTATATAATTTTCAATTTCGAATATTTTTTTATTAACGATTTTTATTAATCCATTATACGATAATAATGTATTAACGTATTAACGATATTTAATGTATTCTCAAATCACAATTGGAAATATAAATATATATCTGCTGCGAAACGAAAGATCTTTTAAACACCAATTTTAAAAGATCGTAAAATGGAGGATTTGCAACTTTTTGCAGAAAACAACTTCTTTTTTAATTAAGGCTGAAACTTTGCTCGCCTTTTTTGAAAAAAAAAAAAAA